ATTGCTGATAAAAAAAGAAGAGTATATTATAGAACAACCAACCATCAGTATTCTGGCAGTTAAGTTTGATACATTATTTGTTGACAATAACATAATAATACATTTAATTATTCTAAAAATAAAATTTTTTATTTGAAAATATTTAATAACTTAACTTTTATTGTAGGAAAAACAACCTATTAAATCTTTTGAATTGCCATTCTAATTTAAAAATCATCTAGATATTTTTATAAATAAAATTACAAAATACTAATTACATTAAATAAGATGACCAAGACAAAATCTTTCTCACTTGTTTCTAGCCATTTATACACGAGTGCGAACGTTTTCGGCCTTCTTCAGGTACATTAAATAACCTCTTCTTATTATTTAATATTTTTAGCTTTCAGTTAGAACTGCTTTAAATGATTATTTTAACTATTTGTCATGTTTTAAAAGCAATTTTATTTACTGTTATTAATATTTCACATAAATGGCAATATGTAGAAAATTAAATTAATATGTGAGAAAATATAATTTAATGAAATGCAAAATCAATTGGATTTAGTTGTAACATTTTAACTTAACCTAACTTATTACTAAATAAGTTTTGATAATATTAAATTTAAAGTTGATTTTGAATTCAGCTTTAAACTTCAGTAAATTCATTAATTCAAGTTCATAATCAAATATGATAAATTCTAGCAATTTGCTAAAACTAATAGCATATTAAAATAATCAACGAAGAATAAATGATAAATAATTTTCACAAACATTAAATTTTAAGAGAAAAATATTCTATACATCATAAAATATTTAGAATAATATTTATTCTACATTATCTATATGCAATATTTAGCTGCAAATTTATATTTAGATTTAGTACAGATATAGGTATTTTTATGTAAATATAAGGATTTTTTTGGACAGGAGATGTAATATAAAGAATGTATATTTTATACATACATGTTATATAACAAAAAGAAATTTCATATATACCAATTATTAATCCCATGTTACAGTCAATCTCAATCTTTTACTATTCAAAAGTACCTGAAAAATTACATTAATCACTTTCATTTCTAACATTTTTGGCCATATTTTAAAAGGTATTTTTGGAGTGTTTTACTGTTCAGCAGTGCATTTCTCAGTAGCTCTTTTACTATCATATAACATTTATAAGGAAATTGAAACTTTCATATAGCTAATTTTTTACATAAATATTCACAACTTTATTCTGAGCCACCTAAAATATAATAATAGAACCCTCATTTGTCAGATATTTAAAATTATTAGCCAAAATGAATTTTAGGCAGGTCAGAATAATGTGAATATTTACCTAATAAATTAGCTATATGAAAGTTTCAATGTTCAACGTGTGATAACCTCTTATAAATATCTATTGTATGATTTTATTATATATATATATATATACACTGTATTGTCATTTATATGTATAAATAGGATTTATTTTATGCTCATATTAAACTTTAGCATATATTGGTAACTAAATAACATCAGTTACAGAATTGAAACATTACATTCAAACGTTAATTAGCTGCTAATAATAAAGGCAGAGATTTCAAAAATTGATTTCACTGACTTATAAAACATTATTTCAATTAAAAATAGCATATACAAACATTGTTATCGTTATATAAAATTCAATAATATATAATGAAATCTTACAAAAGGTTTTAGTAATATATTTCGGTCTATAAATAGAACTTATGTTGCAGACTCGGTCTTATTTCATATTAAAAAAAGGATTTTGACCTTGCAGTGACACTTCTCTTCCATTCTCTATTCAGTAATTCGCAGCATTTGTTCATCAGATTGGGATGTTTGTGTAATTCCACAACCTCCATGTTATTTTTCTCTTAATCGTCGAAAGAGGGAACCAAAATTAAATTAAAATAAAACAAAAGTACTGTTATTTAAACAGGAAAATATCAGCGAATACACGTGACTAATTTCATACATAATACAATTGATATTTCGACTTAAACGCCCTCTGTTATTTAAAATTTCACCTAAAATATTCATCTGTTTTATTTTAAATATTACTTACTCGATCCGCGATAAATTATCGTTATAAACATTTTAAATTGATAAATAAATTATCCGAAAATACAGAATTTTATTTAAAATTCTCATTTACAAGAAACATATTTATTTTAAAGCTATATTTCCATACGAACAGGAAAGATTTTGGAATATTTAAATCACTAATTAAAACATTTCAAATCCTGTTTATAAATTTAGATGAATATTATAAAGCTAAAAATATTTCTGATTAAATATTCTACTTTCTTATTATTAGCATTGAACCTAGTTCTTTCTTTATTTATATTTATTTTATTACTATTTTTTAAAATTTGATTTGAATCCAGCATGCAAGAAGTAAACAAAAAAAAAACATCCATACTCCGCGCCTAAAAATTAAACTTTTACCCTGAAAATTGCATTAAACAGTACATAACTGATGGTTTATTTGTGTATAGGTTATATTTTTAGTGGCTGCATGAATAATCGATAAAATCAAGAAAATCTATTTACTATTTTTTGTTTTTGTAAATGCAATTTGTGATGATTTGCTTACTTAGAAGAGGTCAACAGCAAAATACAGTACAGGAAATATTGTTTTCTCTCTGTAATGTCAAGCAACTCTTTTCTACATATTCCCGAATCCACAAGAATTTATGCATTCAAATTCTCTATAAATTTCAAATTTTCATTATTTTATCTCGCTTTATTTAAATTTACCTGCTATATTTTTGACTTGTAAAGCTAAAAAGTCTGTATCCTTTTTTAAATGGAATGTTTTAAATCAATAAAAAGGAAAATCATATTTTAAAAAAATATAAAATTAATTCATTAATAAGATAGAGTCGGAAGCGGATCGAAGATTATAAATTTAAATTAAACAAGTGTATTTAATATATATGTTAGTGTTTGAATAAATATCTTCCGATGAAATAGAGGAATCAATTCTAATTCTCTGCTCTTGTGGGATTAACCGTTAATTACTTTTACAGATGATATGCAACAGTAGATATTGATCTTCTCTGTTAATCAAAGAAATATGCTTTGTATAATATTCTCTCATATTTTTATGATTTATAAAATAAACGTTTTGATTTTCCAATAGCTTTTAAATCTTTGTGATTCGTCGGAAAAAATTAATTTGTCATTTATATAATTAGAAATTATAATAATAAAAGGTTCTAATTTACATACAGATGATTTCCGGACATTTTTGCATAGAGGGTTTTTTTAACATCGGTTTAATAGGTCTACTCGTAGGCTAGTTCTTTCAATAATGCAAATTTTTTGATAAGCTAATACAGCCGAACCTCAAATAATGACCACCTTTCAATAACGGCCATTCTATATGTTTTTGTTAGTGGCCGTTGTTTAGAGGTTTTATCATATATATATATATAGGCCTATATTATTTATTTAATTTATATAATATTTAATGACTTAATTTTTATTTTATTACATTACAGTATTGTTTAAGTAAATATTGCAAATTTTTATCGTAATTTTTCTTTTCTTTTTCCATTTTACTTGTTACTTATTGATTTTGCAAATACAGTGTTTACATCATTGTTGATATCCAATAATGCATTTTTTACAAGTCCTTATACTATTTATTTAGGCTTTTGAGGAATTAAGTAGCACTACTCTCTTGTTATTTTGAATACGTTCTAAAAATTGAAGTATTGAAATAATGAGCATGCATAAATAATGTAAAAAATTAAACTTTTTAATTTGGAATGGTTATATTATAAAACAGTATTTCAAAATAAGACAGAATATATTTATATAGTTTATTTTCCATTTTTTTTAAATTTTTAACAACTGCTTCTAATCATATGATTAATATTAGGAAGATTTTTTCCTCTTTTAAGAAATGATTTTTAACGAATTCGTGACAGTCATGTAAGGAGAATAAATGACATTTAAGCAATATAAATATAGATGAAACAATATAATTAAAATTATTATTATTTAGATAATTTTTAGTGTAGCATGACAATAAGTCATAAAATAATATGTGAATTGGCAGTACAATATTTTAATTAATAGTTTATATTTTATACACGTACTGTATATGCAGCTAGTGAACGTGGTAAGCAAGACAGAAGAGCACAGAAGATAGCAAAATTATTGGTAGCCTATAAGAAAGAAAATTTATCACAGTGAGCTCGTGAGCTTGTTGCACGTATTAATGTGCTTATATTTATTTCTATAATGAAAGTTATATTTAATCCACTCTAGAGAAGGGTGCTATTTCTATTTTGTATGATGGTGTTGGACCCTTATACCGGTCTTGCGTAAACTTAACATTTATTGATACGATCGTTAGGATTACAAACACTTAAATTTTAATATATATATTTTTAAAATTTTAACGCTTGTAAACATTATGCATTAGTAATAAGCATTAAATAATTGAATGATGCCAGTAAAATGTAAACAGTTTTTTAGAATATAAGCTTATTGCACGAAGCTTCTATTAACATTATACATCATTGACAAGCAACCTTTTCTGGATTCGGGACTCAAGGGAACTTCGTAGGCACATGAGCCCAGAGACCGCATATTAGTATTTCGCGGACCGCGGGTTGCACATGAATGTTCGTGTTACAAACAATTTAAAAATTAAAAAGCTACATAATGAGCACGGGCTATATTTTTAACGCACGATTTATTTCTAGACTTCCCGTTATAATGAGTTCTATCACTTACAAGTAATAGTTTTATTGACATCCGACTAACTTATGTTGACGTCATATTTAACCTTGACCATGACCTTCACTAGTGGGTCGATAATTCGGGAAGCTGCAACAGTCTCTTTCCTGCACGGGCCTATACGATTGGTCTATGCAAATAAATGAATTAAAACAGTTTTCCTACATTTTTAAATGCAGTGTGCATATATTCCTCCGAGCATTAGCGCCTTCTGCAGAATTCCGAAATTGTTATTCGGTAAATAAAGGAAATGACACAGTTTTATGTTAAATATCAAAATACCAAAGATGTTCTTTATTGATTTGATGAATGGAGGATACAAAATAAAATTACAGTGGAAAGTTTAAAGCAACAAGCCACATTCATTTACAAATACAACAATATTTTATACACTATACATTTGTAAGCAATAAATATATATATATAGTCCATTCCGATAATTACAGGTGGACTAGATATAGTGGTTTTTTTCGCATATAATATAAGGGGTAATGACAATGCCGTTTTCGGCTTTATTGGTCCCCTTTTACATATTTACGCGTTTAAAATTACGATAGCTTACCGATCACAGGGCCAATTCGAATGATTAATAATAACAACAGTCTATCCTTTTATTTTGGAAGACTTTTAGGAGGCACTGGCTAATAATTGTTTTAGGACGTGCTTAAATAAATTATCTGGAAGGCCATGGGCACAAAGCTAACTAAAAGTAAACGATTTTTTTCCTTCGAAAACTTAACCTCTCCATCCTAATAGAGGCGAGGAGTTACCAAATTTCACCGAATCGGTCGATAAAGGAAACAAAAGGTTACCTCTCGACGACCTTAAAGATTTACGACGTACTTTCGGCAGAAGGTCCATAATTTCGGATACATCCGCTACGATAAAGTCTGGTTTCGGTTCCGGCGTATCCCAGGGATCTTTGGTAGAACACCAGATAGTAGCACCTACTCCGGCACAGATTCCACCCTCCACATCAGTCGATAGCTTGTCCCCGACCATAATGCATTCTTTGGGGGATACGTCGAGATTTCGGAAAGCAATTTCGAAGATAGCCGGATCGGGTTTTTCTACATCCCAATCGTCACTTACAATAATAATATCAAAGTACTTTTGTCCTTCTATACGCTTTATTTTTTCCCACTGTGCGTTCGATGGTCCATTAGTAATCAGACCTAATTTGTATCTGTTTCTAAGCTCTACTAACATATTTACGACATCGTCGGTTAGATTAATGTATTCCAAGCGATCTTGTTTCCATATGTTATAGCAATTAGCCGCGTAACGCTTCAATTTAGGACCTAAAGCTTCGGCCCATATCATGGTTCTCCACGTGTCCACGTCCCATCTATTCTTAACAGGATCCTGAGGTCTAGCTCTTATGTAATCGTAAAACTTGTCTGTGATTTCACGAGCTAAGTTCTTTTTAATGCCTTGAATTTCCAAATAACGACTGACCTGAAAGAAAACAAGAGAATAATTTAAGTAAAAGTATACCAATTTGCAAAAATCGTCTATAATTTGGTTTAATTTCTTTTAAATTGTAACTTTAGAGCCCTACCGCACTGAAACAAAATAAAATAGATAATTCGTTAGAAATAAAAGCAACGATTTAAAAATTAAATTACTCCAATAAAGTGTATTTATATATATAGGCCTATATACACATACGCAATTGAATTGCTCTTAATTATAAATGGTTACACAAAAAAAACAATGAAAATCATTAAATTACTCGTTTATTTTGAGTTCAAATCTTATCTGATTTGTCGGCAACACAAAAAAAATTTAGTGTAAAATAATTATTTTTATTGAATAGAAAATAAAATTGTATTTAAGTTTACATTAACGTTAAACTAAAAATAAAAATTGACGGTCAATTATAAAGTAAACTGAATAATAGTAATCATAATAATAAGAAAAAGAAGGGAAAAAAACCTAAATTCATTTCATTGATTGCTTAATATTTAAATTCGATATTATGTAACGGTATTTACAATTATAAAAATGTTTAATTTCTATTGTGTTTGTAGTGTTCATAGAGAAAAAAAATTAAAAAAATATATATATATTTATATGTTATAGTGCAAAAATTGAACTATGTATTACCTGGATCACCTTTTTCCAAATCGGTCTGTGCAGCCATCTATTGATGGATAAAAGTACTGTAATAATGACAAAATTAGCTAATTTCGGTTAACGAAGGTTAAAGGTTAAAGGTATTCTATTGAAAATAATATTAAGAATTTTATATCCACGATATTACGGTAAAATTACGTAATAAAAATGGATAAATTCTTATTTAGATATTTTCTAAATTAAAAGGAACAATTTAGAAAATAGTAAGGTTAACATGTATATGATATGATATATATATATACAGTATAGTGAATGTTTACGAGATTAATTAGGTTCCTGCACTTAAAGTAAAAGCTAACCATATTTATTCCCAAAGTAATCTTTTAATTGTGTTGTTGATTCAAGGAATTGATTGCGTTCCCCTTGCACAATATATGTCACAGAGAAAAATCCCATAAACACAATCGATCCAGTAGAATGTTAAAAGTTCAAGCGGCTCTTCTCTTAGGCTTTTACAATAGAATATTAATCAATCAAACGAAATGACCTGCTTTTTATTTTATTTTATTTTATTTTTTTTAAACTCGCATACCTGTTTTGGAAAATCGTACACGTATCGAGAAAGTGTGTCGGCTTCAAAAGATAATTCCATTGCCTGCTCGTACGGGCAACCAGCCAAATAATCAGGTGGCGGAAGTAGCATACCTATATGCGGAATTTTTGTTTTTTGTCCAAAACATAACCTTTAAGAAAGGAGGTCAATATCGCAATTTCCATATTAACAGCTGTACTCCACCTTCTCTTATTACCTCGGGGCATTTGCGGTCGATTTTTTTTTAACCATTTTATATGATTTTCTAAGTACCTGTTGACCAATCTGTTTCCTCAACTGTGACGTCGTATGTTAGAAACGAAACGAAGGGACATCGCACTTCAGCTGGCAACAGTGAGATTTTCTTAATTTAGTGTCGAGGTTTGCAAGAGACAGTGATTTTGTTACTTGTTATATTTATTATTTTTTTCTTTCGTGCCATGACATAAACATGTTTTTAAACAGGAAGAACGAAAAGCTTAATGAGTAATTTATCTCACAATTGTAGCAAAGTTTGCAAATTATTTATCCTATCATATATACAAGCGAGAGAGAGAGAAAAGAGAGAGATTTTTAAATTATATTTACTGTAATTTATTATAGAATCAATGGTTAATTACCTGATAGCACGCTTCGCGATCGGCTCCTTTGGTATCGATTAGTGTTCCATCTAAATCGAAAAGGACGACGGTTATATCTTGCAATTTCTCTCTCGATGTGCAGAAACTAACTTCCATCTTTACAGTACGGAATCAGGTGATCAACTGGATGTCTTTCCGTCACGGCTCGCCTTATACGTCATCCAAGCGTTGCCACGGTAACAGAATTTCACCTCTTCATTGGTCGCTTTTAATTTAAAACGGGGAGCCAATCGCGTAGCGTCGTTTTGGTAACACCTAATTTTAATATTTTTAAAAATTCTTCTTTTTTCTTTAAATTTTTGCTGTAATTTTAAATTAATTTTTTTTCTTTTTTTAAAGTTGTTTGATTTATAATGTTGCACACCGCAATAAAAATTTCATTTTTTAAAATTTATATAAATATATTTATTTATTTTTAAATAAAATAAGGTATTAGCATCTGAAATTTTTTATAAAAATAAATAGGAAAAAATATTTTAAAATAAAATAAAGGAAAGGAAAATTTACCAATTTATAAAAGATGTATGGTTGATTTTTCCTTTACTATATTTTAGAATTTTAATCATTTAAACAATGGTTTAGAATATTTTTATAAATGAACCACTGTAAATATGGAGAAAAATGCACAATTAATCATAGGGATTCAAATTTTAGACGTGCTAATTTACTAATATTTAATTCAGTTCGATTAGAATATAGATTGTCTTGTTTATAAACGAATTTAAATATATATATATTTTGAAGGTTAGTATTTCGATATAAGACAATATGTTTTTGTTATTGATTTTTATCCTCTTAGTCGAAATTAGGAAATCATCAAACGAACACACCTTCGGGTCAAATTTCTGCTGAGTAACAGCTTAAAGGAAATGAGCAAAAGAATTTCGCACTTTAATGTAAACATTTCCTTCCGTGCCAGAGACGTCATCTTCCCATGTTCGGTTTAAATTCCCAGCACGTTTGCATATTTAATAATTATATGAATACCGTATGTTGAAAGAAAAGGAAACGTCGACGTCATCTCCAACATTTCCAAGTTGAACGTTCTTTGTAAAAGACAATACAATCGTTTCATTTTTTTAACCGCTCGTCATCGATCACGGTCTGTTATCGCTCGTTAAAAACATCGTTCTATACTATCTAATTGTCAATAATATCAACGGGTTAAATGATTAGCCTTGAAATTTAGACAGTCATACGTCATAGACAACGAAACTACTTATCGAAATGATAAAAATCTTACTTGTTAGTCTTATTTGTCCTTTAGCTCCTATTTGTACGAATATTTAATATAGTCTCTAGCTTGATAGTTTGAAAGTAAAACTTCTAGATAGTCTGCAAATTTTGTCAAAGTGCAATCGATGCAACATCCTAAATGAAAACTTTACGATATGCTTTGTACTATACAGTAATACCCCGAACTTACGCGAAGGTGGGACCGAACGGTAACCGCGTAAGTCGAATTCGCGTAAGTCGGGGTATAATTTCGCATATAAATACATACAATTAATTTTTAATTGGGGCCGGAGACTAAAGAAAACAATAATTTAGAAAAAATGTTTAATAAAATCTTAGATAATATATATGTATAACAAATTAGGCCTATATTATTTTACAATTTTTCACATTTACTTGATTATCACGCCATAATTTTAACATTGTTTCCATCTCAGCGATAATACCGTGACGTTTACGAATGATGCTTGAATTTAAAGATTGAGCATTTTTCACAGCTTCGAGAATTTTTTCTTTGCCTTTTATAATTGTTCTGACCGACGATTCCGGTAGATCAAACTTCTTTGCCAATTCACAAATTTTATTTTTGTATCGAAGTCTTTAATAATGGGTACGTTCGTAAAGTCAAACGAGTTAAACGCATTAGTAACGAATCGTTCGAAAAGTCTAACGAAATAGGAATAACGATGACATCATTCTCGTTTAACTCGTTCGACTTTACGAACGTACTGTACTCAATGTTAACTTTAGATTCCAAAGATAAAGTTTTTCTTTTCTTGTTTGATGCAGAAAAATTGCTTCTACTTCGTTTGGATGACATTAGAGTCTCTCGAGTCTCCGTAGATATAACAAACATAGAAATAAATAACACAAAATAAATTGTAGCTATGTGTCGATTCCGCGCGACACATACGAACATGTAAGCTGAACAATAATGTGGGGAAGTGAGTAATCAAGGGTTGCGTGGCGCTGAAACAAAAACGAATCGACGAGATTTGAAAATCGCGTAACTCCGGGTTTGCGTAAGTCGGGGTAGCGTAAGTCGAGGTATTACTGTACTTAGTTTCAGAAAAATTAAGCCCAATTTACTCAATTAATTTTCTTTCAATTGTAACGGCAATTTTATATTGAAACAAAATAATAATTTTTCACAAGAAAATTGTTGAGTTTTGGACAAGTATTATATTAATCGAAATTTGGAGTCAATTTATATTGGGATTTTTGTTTAAAGTCTAGCCTTGGTATTTTCGGCTAAAGCTTAGTGTTAAAACTAATTATTCGAGTCTCCACTTTAAATGACTACTAATTAAATACCAAGTGCGTGCTGTAGAATAAATTAAGAAAAAAATATTTTAAGACTATTTATCGACTTATTTTAAAATGTTTTTATAGACTAATGCAAAGAGCGTATTTTTGTTCTTGAGAAAGTCAACCTTGGTTTAGAAACCAGATGTTTTGCGTTTAAATGCGACGTCCTTCTATATAATTTATTAAAAGTTTGTGTAGGATCCGAATAAATATTATTCTGCACTTTTCACGTAAAAAAGTGAATAAAAGTTATTTTTCAAGGACAAAAACTAAAAATTCTCTTTGCATTTAATTCAAATGTAAATTTAGAGCAGAAATTTTTAATTGGCATGCATAATATTTTTTCATCAATTCAGTGAGTTTTATATTGAAACAAAATAATAATTTTTCACAAGAAAATTGTTGAGTTTTGGACAAGTATTATATTAATCGAAATTTGGAGTCGATTTATATTAGGATTTTTGTTTAAAGTCTAGCCTTGGTATTTTGGGCTAAAGCTTAGTGTTAAAACTAATTATTCGAGTCTCCACTTTAAATGACTACTAATTAAATACCAAGTGCGTGCTGTAGAATAAATTAAGAAAAGTCATAATATTGACAACATATCAGTAGTTCTTTATCTTTTATTGATTCAGAATCAATGACATGTTTATAATATTACTAAGAAAGAGAGAGAAATACAAACACACAAACACTGAGATACAGCGATTGAGTGATAGTGCATATTAGTTCCTATCTCATAAATACTTTTTACGAATTTTTAAGTTATATTGTTTATAATATAAACATGCAATAGAATTTTAAGAATTCCACATTATACCAGGTATATTGAAAAAATATTCAAACTAATATTTTATACAACATTGGGAATTATTGATATTATTATATATAATATTAACATTAATTACTGATAATTATTTACTGATTAATATTAAAATTTTAATATGATTATATAATACTAAATATACTGTATACTAATATAGCCTATATTTATTCAATTAATTTTTTCTTTCTTGTAAAGGTAATTTTATAAACGTTATATTCAAACAAAGAGAAAACTTAAAATTCTTAAGTTTTGATTAATATTATAGTAACATAGGGTTAATTTATGTTAATGTAAAGTTTATTTGAGCTTAATCTCAAGTTTAATGGATTAAACTTTGGATAATGTGCGTGCAAAATACTTAATAATATTAAATAGACTATATGATACCATTAGTCCGAAAAGCCTAGTATTGATGCTAATCATCTAACAAGTAAGCTCGCACCTTGAATGATTGGTAATTGAATGCAGAGAGAAGTCTACATAAATAAATATATATTAAAATTTTAGAATATATATATAGGCCTATATTATTTATTTAATTTATATAATATTTAATGACTTAATTTTTATTTTATTACATTACAGTATTGTTTAAGTAAATATTGCAAATTTTTATCGTAATTTTTCTTTTCTTTTTCCATTTTACTTGTTACTTATTGATTTTGCAAATACAGTGTTTACATCATTGTTGATATCCAATAATGCATTTTTTACAAGTCCTTATACTATTTATTTAGGCTTTTGAGGAATTAAGTAGCACTACTCTCTTNTTAATTTTATTTTAAGTTAAACGAATTTAAATAAATATAGTTTCGTCGTTTTCGAAATCGTGCGAAGAGAGCAATGATATCATTAGATACGCACGCACAATTAAGAGTGAACAATCCTTAAAGAAGTGCTTTTCAGGTTAAAGTTTTCCATTTTTCTTAAATAACGTAAAGTAAGCATCGACAGATATGACTAAGTGAAAAGTAAATGATGTGACATCACCGAAACTCGTCATAAGCGCGTCAGTAGTCATAAATTAATGATTGCGACAGTGTAAACAATCTTGAGATTCTGGTATATTTAGACTGGATGCTAAGTACCACATCATTATTTTCTTGATCTTCGCACTGTTAATGTTTCCCAGAACTTGGAAGCTTGTTGAATCACTTAGAAATTATTAATAAATATAAATTTTTATCTATATTTATCAGAAAAATATTTAATCTTTATTTTAAGCATTTAATTTTAATATAGTTTAAATTAAAATTGACTATACCTTTCTTTATTAAAAGCAAATTAATCAATAGGCTAATAGTTGGCCTCTCGGATGTGGAGAGGGATCCGAGCTATTTACGTTTTTGAGACCTTCCAATATGGTCTATTAAAAAAAAAAAAAAGTTAAAAATTGTATTATATTATAAAATAAAATGTAACCAAAAAATAAAGGGTTTTTCTTAATATACATAAAATACAATTGAATGAATAATTTGTAACAAATGCTTGTGAAATTCCGTATTACATACTGTACTGTACTGTATTGTGTCAGGTGCAGTACAATGAATCTTACCGTGTACAGAACACTTTGGTACGAATAATTTAACACACCTAGTTAAAATAAATTAGCATTTCTGTAATAAATATTGTAATTGTTTAAATCGGCATATTTTGGTGAGAACTTACAGTTAATAATCAGTTAATCTATGTTAAGGTAGGAACGGATTTTTTTTAATTAAAAAATTAAGAATATTACACAAAATGCGCTGCAATTTTTCTGTGAACAGATGTACTGTACTGTACGTTTCGAATTTTCAGATCTCTCCTTATTCTCCCTATTTTTTAAACGATACACACCCTAATCAGATTATCTTATTATCGTGTT